AAGTACAATGGTGACTATTAGATTCCCACTAAATACCATGGTGACTCCTAGATTCTCTCTAATTACCACAGTGACTCCTAGATTCCCACAAAGTACCATGGTGACACCTATATTCCCACCTAGTACCATGGTGACACCTAGATCCCACTATGTACCATGGCAACTCCTAGATGACAACTAAGTAGCATGGTGACTCCTAGATTCCCACTAAGTACCATGGTTACTCCTAGATTCTCACTAAGTACAATGGTGACTCCTAGATTCACATTTACTACCATGGTGACACCTAGATTCCCACTAAGTACCATGGTGACTCATAGATTCCCACTAAGTACCATGGTTACTCCTAGATTCTCATTAAGTACAATGGTGACTCCTAGATTCACATTTACTACCATGGTGACACCTAGATTCCCGCTTAGTACCATGACGACTCCTAGATTCACACTACGTACCATAGTGACTCCTAGAATCCCACTAAGTACCATGGTGACTCATAGGTTCCCACTAAGTACCATGGTGACACTTAGATTTCCACACAGTACCATAGTAACACCTAGATTCCCACTAAGTACCATGACGACTCATAAATTCCCACTAAGTACCACGGTGACACCTCGATTCCCACTAAGTACCACGGTGACTCCTAGATTCCCACTAAGTACCATATTGACTCCTAGATTCCCACTAAGTACCATGGTGACTCTTAGATTCCCGCTAAGTACCACGGTGACACCTAGATTCCCATTAAGTACCATGGTGACACCTAGATTCCTACTAAGTACCATGGCTCCTCCTAGATTCCCACTGAGTACCACAGTGACTCCTGGATTCCCACTTAGAACCACACATAGATGATATAATACAGTGTCATCAATATGAATTAACTTTTCATGAATATGCTGAGTGATAAAACAAGAATTTCTATATTTTTGTAATGCCTTTTTTTTTTTTATATATATTTGAAGATGTATAAGATTTTGGATTTGCCATCTTTATGGGAAAGCCTGCAGAGGGCATTTATCAAGGTGAAAAAAAAATGTAAAGCCAGCAGGTAATATGCAAGTATGTGATCTGATTGGTTGTACCTACATGTCAACGTGATCTGATTAGGTGTACCTACATGTCAATGTGATCTGATTGTTTGTACCTACATGTCAACATGATCTGATCGGGTGTACCTACATGCTAATGTGATCTGATTGGTTGTACCTACATGTCAATGTGATCTGATTAGGTGTACCTACATGTCAATGTGATCTGAATGGTTGTACCTACATGTTAATATGATCTAATTGGTGGTACCTACATGTCAATGTGATCTGATTGGTTGTACCCACATATTAATTTGATCTGATTGGTTGTACTTACATGTCAATGTGATCTGATTGGTTGTACCTACATGCTAATGTGATCTGATTGGTTGTACCTACATGTCAATGTGATCTGATTGGTTGTACCTACATATTAATGTGATCTGATTAGGTGTACCTACAGTTCAATGTGATCTGATTGGTTGTTCCTACATATTAATGTGATCTGATTGGTTGTACCTACATGTCAACGTGATCTGATAAGGTGTACCTACATGTCAATGTGATCTGAATGGTTGTACCTACATGTTAATATGATCTAATTGGTGGTACCTACATGTCAATGTGATCTGATTGGTTGCACCTACATGTCAATGTAATCTGATTAAGTGTACCTACATGTCAATGTGATCTGATTGGTTTTACCTACATGTAAATATGATCTGATTGGTGGTACCTACATATTAATGTGATCTGATTAGGTGTACCTACAGTTCAATGTGATCTGATTGGTTGTACCTACATGTTAATATGATCTGATTGGTGGTACCTATATGTTAATGTGATCTGATTGGTTGTACCTCCATGCCAATGTGATCTGATTGGTTGTACCTACATGTTAATATGATCTGATTGGTGGTACCTATGTGTCAATGTGATCTGATTGGTTGTACCTCCATACTAATGTGATCTGATTGGTTGTACCTACATGTTAATATGATCTGATTGGTGGTACCTATATGTCAATGTGATCTGATTGGTTGTACCTCCATGCTAATGTGATCTGATTGGTTGTACCTACATGTCAATGTGATCTGATTGGGTGTACCTAAATGTCAACGTGATCTGATTAGGTGTCCCTACATGTCAATGTGATCTGATTGGTTGTACCTACATATTAATGTGATCTGATTGGTTGTACCTACATGTCAACGTGATCTGATTGGGTGTACCTACATGTTAATATGATCTGATTGGTGGTACCTATATGTAAATGTGATCTGATTGGTTGTACCTCCATGCCAATGTGATCTGATTGGTTGTACCTACATGTCAACCTGATCTGATTGTTTGTACCTACATGTCAATGTGATTTGATTGGTTGTACCTACATGTCAATGTGATCTGATTGGTGGTACCTCCATGCTAATGTGATCTGATTGTTTGTACCTACATATTAATGTGATCTGATTGGTTGTAACTACATGTCAATGTGATCTGATTGTTTGTACCTACATATTAATGTGATCTGATTGGTTGTACCTACATGTCAATGTGATCTGATTGGTTGTACCTACATGTCAATGTGATCTGATTGGTTGTACCTACATGTCAATGTGATCTGATTGGTTGTACCTACATGTCAATGTGATCTGATTGGTTGTACCTACATGTCAATGTGATCTGATTGGTTGTACCTACATGTCAATGTGATCTGATTGGTTGTACCTACATGTCAATGTGATCTGATTGGTTGTACCTACATGTCAATGTGATCTGATTGGTTGTACCTACATGTCAATGTGATCTGATTGGTTGTACCTACATGTCAATGTGATCTGATTGGTTGTACCTACATGTCAATGTGATCTGATTGGTTGTACCTACATGTCAATGTGATCTGATTGGTTGTACCTACATGTCAACGTGATCTGATTGTTTGTACCTACATGTAAATATGATCTGATTGGTGGTACCTACTTGTTAATATGATCTGATTGGTTGTACCTACATGTCAACGTGATCTGATTGGTTGTACCTACATGTCAACATGATCTGGTTGGTTGTACCTACATATTAATGTGATCTGATTAGGTGTACCTACATGTCAATGTGATCTGATTGGTTGTACCTACATGTCAACGTGATCTGATTGGTTGTACCTACATGTCAACATGATCTGTTTGGTTGTACCTACATGCTAATGTGATCTGATTGGTTCTACCTACATGTCAATGTGATCTGATTGGTTGTACCTACATGTCAATGTGATCTGATTGTTTGTCCCTACATGTCAACGTGATCTGATTGTTTGTACCTACATGTAAATATGATCTGATTGGTGGTACCTACTTGTTAATATGATCTGATTGGTTGTACCTACATGTCAACGTGATCTGATTGGTTGTACCTACATGTCAATGTGATCTGATTAGGTGTACCTACAGGTCAATGTGATCTGATTGGTTGTACCTACATGTCAACATGATCTGGTTGGTTGTACCTACATATTAATGTGATCTGATTGGTTGTACCTACATGTCAACCTGATCTGATTGTTTGTACCTACATGTCAATGTGATCTGATTGTTTGTACCTACATGTCAACGTGATCTGATTGTTTGTACCTACATGACAATGTGATCTGATTGGTTGTACCTACTTGTTAATATGATCTGATTGGTTGTACCTACATGCTAATGTGATCTGATTGGTTGTACCTACATATTAATGTGATCTGATTAGGTGTTCCTACATGTCAATGTGATCTGATTGGTTGTTCCTACATGTCAACATGATCTGATTGGTTGTACCTCCATATTAATGTGATCTGATTGGTTGTACCTCCATGTTAATATGATCTGATTGGTGGTACCTACATATTAATGAGATCTGATTGGTTGTACCTACATGTCAACGTGATCTGATTAGGTGTACCTACATGTCAATGTGTTCTGATTGGTTGTACCTACATATTAATGTGATCTGATTGGTTGTTCCTACATGTCAACATGATCTGATTGGTTGTACCTCCATATTAATGTGATCTGATTGGTTGTACCTCCATGTTAATATGATCTGATTGGTGGTACCTACATATTAATGAGATCTGATTGGTTGTACCTACATGTCAACGTGATCTGATTGGTTGTACCTACATATTAATGTTATCTGATTGGTTGTACCTACATGTTAATATGATCTGATTGGTGGTACCTACATATTAATGTGACCTGATTGGTTGTACCTACATATTAATGTGATCTGATTGTTTGTACCTACATGTTAATGTGATCTGATTGGTTGTACCTAAATGTCAACGTGATCTGATTAGGTGTACCTACATGTAAAAATGTGATCTGATTGGTTGTACCTACATGTTAATATGATCTGATTGGTGGTACCTACATATTAATGTGATCTGATTAGGTGTTCCTACATGTCAATGTGATCTGATTGGTTGTACCTAAATGTCAACGTGATCTGATTAGGTGTACCTACATGTAAAAATGTGATCTGATTGGTTGTACCTACATGTTAATATGATCTGATTGGTGGTACCTACATATTAATGTGATCTGATTGGTTTCCCCACATGTCAATGTGATCTGATTGGTTGTACCCACATGTCAATGTGATCTGATTGGTGGTACCTACATATTAATGTGATCTGATTGGTTTCCCCACATGTCAATGTGATCTGATTGGTTGTACCTACATGTTAATATGATCTGGTTGGTGGTACCTATTTGTTGATGTGATATAATTGGTTGTACCTACTTGTTAATATGATCTGATTGGTGGTACCTATTTGTTGATGTGATATAATTGGTTGTACCTACATGTCAATGTGATCTGATTGGTTGTACCTACTTGTTAATATGATCTGGTTGGTGGTACCTATTTGTTGATGTGATATAATTGGTTGTTCTTATATGCTTATGTGATCTTATTTATTGTACCTACTTGTTTATCGTGATCTGATTGGTTGTCCTGTCTGGTATTTCCAATGATAATTTCCATAACTCCAGCTGTTCATCAACATATGTCAAAAGTCTGCAACAAAGTTTTAGAATTTTATTGAAATTTACTTACAATGTTGTCAGCAACATTTATCAGTGTACATGCATATTGTAGCTAACATTTCGTACACATTTCATTTGTCAATGTTTATTTCATATGCTTTGAAGATCTATCAATACATGCTGTCATATTTCATTTTCTTGCACTACAATCATAATGAAAGGTTCGAGTACAGTGCCTTTCTAATTAGAATAAAACAAGAGCACCGCGTACAGAAGCATGATACGTACGCCCGTCAGACCCTCCTAAGGGTATTGATAAATTGGAAGCAGGTAGTGACATATGATATAAATATGTTACCTGCCATCGTTTTGTTGGTGACTGTGACCTTGCTATTCATTTACTGTGCAAGCTATTTTATATTTCAGAATTGCATTTTCGTGGTCAATGTTGTTCAACAAGAGGCCCAATGGGCCTGCATCGCTCACCTGGTATTAATCTCACTATTGTAACCTTAAAAGTGGACTAAAATAAAGCTTCAGGCAAAATATCAGTGTCTTGACTTCAAGTCATTCAGAAGAACCTGTTAAACGATTAAAACACATTTGATGCCTGTGACCTTAAAAGGTCAAACATGGACATTAAGTTGAACAAACTTCAGAGCCCTTCTTCTCAGAACGCAACTTGCCAAATATCACCACTTTATACCTTTTGTTTATTGAGAAGATTTATGCACTATGGACCAGATGTGACCATGAAAGTATCTCAAGGTCATTCACATCAACAAGCAATCACCCTGTATGCTTAAGTTATTCAGAAGGGTTTTGTTTAAATATTTCAACATATTTGACCCCTGTGACCTTGAATATAGACAAAGGTCATTCATTTGAACAAATCTGGTAGCCATTCATGCCAACATACTTCTGGCCAAATATCATCACCCTGGGCCTTTTGGTTATACAAAAGAAGTTGTTTGAATGTTTTTAAGACAATTGACCAATGTGACCTTGAATATGAGTGAGGGTCATTTATTTGAAAAAACTTGGTAGCCCTTAATGCCAAAATCCTTCTACCCAAATATCATCACCTTGGACCTTTTAGTTATACAGAAGAAGTCGTTCAAAGTTTTTAAGACAATTGACTCCTTTGACCTTGAATATGAGTGAAGGTCATTTGTTTGAACAAACGTGGTAGCCCTTCATGCCAACATCCTTCTGGCCAAATATCATCACCTGGGACCTTTGGTTATACAGAAAAAGTTATTTAAAGGTTTTTAAGACAATTGACTCCCAGTATGTAGTAGAGAATTCTGATAGAACACAAGTTACCCAGTAAGTACTGTAGTAGAGAATTCAGATAGAACACAAGTTACCTAGTATGGAGTAGAGAATTCTGATAGAACACAAGTTACCCAGTATGTAGTAGAGAATTCAGATAGAACACAAGTTACCCAGCATGTAGTAGAGAATTCAGATAGAACACCAGTTACCCAGTATGTAGTAGAAAATTCAGATAGAACACAAGTTACCCAGTATGTAGTAGAGAATTCAGATAGAACACAAGTTACCCAGTATGTAGTAGAGAATTCAATTAGAACACAAGTTACCCAGTATGAAGTAGAGAATTCAGATAGAACACAAGTTACCCAGTATGTAGTAGAGAATTCAGATAGAACACAAGTTACCCAGTATGTAGTAGAAAATTCAGACAGAACACAAGTTACCCAGTATGTAGTAGAGACTTCAGATAGAACACTTACTAGTCTATAAATGAAAGATTTTGAGTTGAAATAATCATACAGTTTCTTATAATTAAGTAGACTCAATTTTTATTTTTACAACAATATATTTCACATTATTTTGATGTTTATATAGATCGAAGCAGCAATACATGCATACAGGAATATGCTAGCAAACCCTATAAAACACACAAGTATCCCTGTATTTAGTTGTTGAGAATCCAGATAAAACACTTACTCTTCTACACATCTGTGACATGAGACCTTCAGATGGTTAAGTAGGTCACCTGTATCACCATAGCGATTAAAAAGTGGGTCTGTCTGGGTGTCCTTGTCAGCTGCTGGATGTATGTAATGCTTGCAATCCTCTATCAGGGTCAGTAGCTTGTCATCATAGTTTCGACACAGGCTACAAACAAACAAAATACTTTGGGCTACATATTTTTCTTTATTTCATCAGCATTTCAGTGAATTATATTTGATATCGGTGCTTTCCACAACACTTAGTCCTGTATGGTGAACAGTTATTTAATTTAAATAAATATCACAGTTTTGTACACTTCAACCAATGAAAATTAATATCATACGCCATTTTGAATATTTCCTTTGATCTTTTTAAAATGTCGACAATATGTTAAAACCAATTTTTTCTCCAAAGTCTATGATAATAATTTCATTTAAACACAGTACAAGCATATAGGTTTCCCCATGTATATCCTTCCAAATTTGATAACTTTTTTGTTTTTTTCTCATGATTTTTTTTTTGTCAAATGTCATCTATAGGTGTTCGGTATGGATCAAAGTTCAAATGCCCTTTTTTGGGATTTTTTTTACAAAATTTTAAGTTGACCAGGTCAAGTTTTGAGTTATTAAGGGGTCAAATTACACCTAAAATTTAATTTGGCCCTTCTGGCAAAGTGAGCAAATAAGAGATCTTAAAAGGATCTAGGCACACACCGGTCTTCATTTTCCTTACAGGTACTATTACACAGTCCCATGTTGGAAATCCTAAATGGGAATCTTGTACATTGACTTAAACCTTGTTATGTTATTTGTTATTTGCCACATTATTTTGTAATTCTTACAGAATTAGAAGTGCAGTCAAAGACAATGAATTCTCATCAGGGCCAGGAGTATTTTTAACAAGGGAAACAAGAAGAAGATCACCTATATTTAGAGAAAAAAAAGTATCAAAATGTTAGAAAGGATATTATATTTTCCTTCCGTACTGTTTTGGGCAAATATGTTAGCCTTCCAAATCGTCCTGTGTGGGTGTGTTCAGTCAACCATAAAAGTGTGTGCACGCTTTTCCATGTGTACACCACTTTAAAAAGCTAAGCTAGGCTAAGTAAGGCGTTGTTCAAATTGTTAAGGAAATCAATTTGATGAATTCTCTGTGTGATTTTGTTTTAATATAGCACAAAGACGAACCAGACAATGATGGTGAAATTAATAGGGGCATCCAAATGCTGCAAGCTAGCATGTCTCAACGTCAGGTTGCAGCAGACCTTGGGGTGTACACTGCAGCACCAACACTGATTTTTGCTCATACAGGCACTGCGTCACAGGTTCCAGACTGCCACAGCTTTACGAAATGACCTCCTTAATGCTTCTGGTACCCGGTTAGCCACTCAGACAATTAGGAACCGTCTTCATGATGCTGGTTTAAGGTCAAGTAGACCAGCAATATGAGGGACTGATTAGATTTGGCCCGAGCTCACAGCACTTGGACTCTTCAGGAATGGGAACCGGTTATTATTATTCTTTCCGAATTCACCGACAGGAGCGTTAAAGTATGCATGGAGACAACCTGGGAAGAGGTTCCAGACAGGTAATGTTGTGGAACATGACTGATATGGCACAGGTTCAGTGATGGTGTGGGAAGACGTAAGCCTTCGTGGGAAAACTGACCTCACCGTCTTCCATAATGGTATCGTTATGGCCTGGATTTACTTCGATGAAATCTTTGATGCCTATGTCAGACCCTACGCTGGCGCTATTGGCCCTGACTTCATCCTTCTGGACAATAATGCTAGACCACATAGAGCAAGGGTGACTGAGCAGTATCTACAGCAAGAGACTATTCAACGATACCAATATAGTTTCTGTTTATTTAGGATTAGTTTTTAGTGAATACATCATTGTTACCAATTTTAAGGGTTACCCTTTTCCCGAGGCTCATTTTCCAACTGTATTTACGATTTTTGGAATTTTTGCATGCTGATGAATTAAAAAAGAACAATAAATTTTTCAAAAATAATCTCAGTATAAACCAAATAAAATATATATTTTCATTTGTCAAGAAGCCCAGAGGGCCTGTATCGCTCACCTGGATATCTAAGCAATCATGGCAAAATATTCTCCTTATAAGATCCAAGGGAATGGGCCAGACCCTAAGACCGATTTAATCCTTGTAACATATCTGTATTAGAATTTTCATGGCGAGCAAGTTTATGTATGGTTATGGTGTGGGGATCTCAACTGTTTCCAAGCTGTGACTACGAAACTAGGTCCCTAGCTAGGGTTGTGGCCAGACCCCAGGTTCAATTCTAATATCATGACAGCATTTGTCTCTTTATGTCCAGCATTTGTATATATAGTTTTGGGGTGGGGATCTCAACTGTTTCAAAGTTATGAACCAGGGGTTAAGTTTGCAAGGGTGGGGCAGATCCCAGAGTCAATTCTAATATCATGACATCATTTGTCTCTTTATGCCCAACAATTGTATACTGTATATAGTTTTGGGGTGGGGATCAGAACCATTTCAAAGTTATGGCCCAGGGGTTAAGTTTGCAAGGGTGGGGCAGATCCCGGGGTCAATTCTAATATCATGACAGCATTTGTCTCTTTATGCCCAACAGTTGTATATATAGTTTTGGGGAGGGGATCTCAACAGTTTAGAAGTTATGACCCAGGGGTTAAGTCTCCAAGGGTGGAGCCAGACCCCAGGCCATCCTGGAAGCATTTGTGCATTTTTCTTTTTGTACTCAGCAATTGTATATATAGTTTTGGGGTGGGGATCTCAACCACTTCCAAGTAATTAACTATTTTTGGCCCCACTCCTTAGCCCAGGGGGTCAGCCCCACTATTTGTACAATTTTGAATCCCCACCTCCATGAATGCTTCAGACCAAATATAATTTATATCAAGTGCATTTTTCTACAGAAGAAGTCGTTTATAGCAATAAAGTCAAATTGCCCCTTTTGGCCCCGCCCCTCAGCCCCCTGAGGAGTGGCCCAACCATTTGTATAATTTTGAATCCCCACTACCTAGGAATGCTTCCAGTCAAATATGGTTGATATCCATCTTTTGGTTCAAGATCCAGAGAAGTCGCTTAAAGCAATGTAGCAAAATAGACCTTTTTGGCCCCAACCGTAAGCCCCATGGGGGTCAGCCTCACCATTTGAACAATTTTGAATCCCTGCCCCCAATGAATGCTTCCAATCAAATATGATCAATATCCAGTGCAAAATTCTACAGAAGAAGTTGTTCATAGCAATATAGCCAAACTGCCCCATTTGGCCCCGCCCCTCAGCCCCCTGGGATGTCAGCCCCACCATTTGTACAATTTTGAATCCCCAGTACCTAGGGATGCTTCCAGTTAAATATGGTTGATGTCAATCTCTTAGTTCCACAGAAGTCGCTTGAAGCAATATAGCCAAATTGCCCTCTTTTAATTGGCCCCGCCCCTCAGTCCCCTGGGGTGTCAGCCCCACCATTTGTACAATTTTGAAACCCCAATACCTAGTGATGCTTCCAATCAAATATCATAAATATCTATTGCATAGTTCAACAAAAGAAGTTGTTTAAATCAATATAGGCAAATTGACCCCATTTGGCCCCACCCCTCACCCCCACCATTTGTACAATTTTGAATCCCCACTACCTAGGGATGCTTCCCCTCAAATTTAGTCAAATTCCAATCAGTGGTTAAGAAGAAGTAGTCGTTTGAAGAAATTGTTGACGCATGGGCGACGGACGGACGAACCAGGTGAGCTAAATATGAAAGTGATCTTTAGCAAAATGTGAGTAGTATATATATCAAGTACCTTGAAGTGATAACAACATTGAATTGTCAACATTCAAGATGGTCATCTGGTGGCCATCCTGTTTTCCGATCAGTCACTGAAAGCAATATGCATAAGCAGAGACCATGGGGAACATTCATGTGAAATTTGAGAAATATCCCTCAAGTCCTTTCTGAGAAATAGTGCAAACAAACTTTAACTCTCAAAATTCTAGATGACCGCTTATCGTCCATTTTGGTTTTTGATCAGTACCAGAGTTTGATATGCATAACAGTGACCATGGGGAACCTTTATTAGCAACTTTCTCCTGTAACTTAAGAAAGAGTACTAACAAACATTAACTCTCAAAATTTAAGATGGCCGCCTTCTGGCCATCATGGTTTTCCAATCGGTCCCAAAATTTGAAATGCTTATTATAACTGGAGATCATGGGTAGAAATTGGGAAGGATCTCTTTGTACTTTCTGAATAATAGCGCTAACAAGAATTTAAAAAGACGGAATGATGGATGGACAGACGGACCAAGGGCGATTTGAATAGCCTACCATCTGATGATGGTGGGCTAAAAAAAGTGGACAGAGGGCAGAGTGACGATGGATGCTGGACCATACCATAACTCACAGACACTTCCTGCCAGGTGAACTGAAAACACTTTTAACAAGGTTACCATGAAGCGGTACATAATACACCTATCACACACTGAATGAGTAGTTGTTTGTATCGGTGAAATATATGAAATTTTTGTGAGTTATTGATGTTAGAGTAAAATAATTGAACAACACCTGGTAGATCAATGAAGGCAGTAAAACATCTTTGAATGCATGTAGTATTGCATTAATGAAACTAAGGGGAACAACTCTATCAATTATGGCCAGATAATTGTGATTACACTCGCTCCGCTCATTTAGGGGGCAAAACTCTGTAAATTAGTGTCGGATAATGGTGGTTATACAATTTGTCTGAGCTCTAATGGTAATTAACCTTCCTAACCCTGAAAATTACTCATGGTATAGAGCAGACACTGCTTCAGCGATCGAATACGGGGAGTTTGTACAGTATGGTCTGATAATGTTGGTTATCAAACTAGTTCGGGTTTTCATGGTACTAAACCTCCTATGAAGTTTGAATTTAATCTGTTGAAACTTACTTGAGATATTGAGCCGACATTGTTTCAGAAAATAAATAAAGTGGCATAAATCCCTAAATTACTGTTGGATAACTGTGGTTTTCAAACTTGAGCTTTAAACTCATCAAATTACAGTCATATAGTGGTTGACGAAGTTGAACATCCAGAAAAATGATAGCAAGGATTAAGATGGTATGGAGCTTACCTCTGAATTACAGGAGTAAAGGCCTTGGCTCTCATCAGTAAGCCACTGGGTGCTTGAGCACTAGTGGTGCGAGTATTGGCAGTGGTCCAGGCCATGTTGGTCGGTATATCCCCTGGCCCTTCACACCAGATATACTTGGACAGGTCTACCTCCACCTCACTGCTCCTACAGATTACACGCAACTGTCATGATTACAAGACGGTGATGTTACATGTTAAGAATGATCAACAGACCTGTAAAGCTGAAGTTACATGGGGTTGGGGGGTTTGCAAACATGCCTGGGCTGCACAAATTTTAAAACCAAGGGCTATCCCTGCTGATCTTACAATGAGATCTGCCAACTGATAGACATAAAGTATATCATTCACCATATTTATATCTGTTTACAACAGCGATGCCCTTCCATTGGTAGCTGCTATATGAAACATCCTCCATTGTGTTCTTACAAGAGACTTATTAACAAGAGATCCCAGAGGGATCTTGAAGCCCACCATTGTACCATCTTCATTAGTTCTTTGTCAGTTCGATCTTTTCTCTTCTTTCCTCTAATCAGTTTGATCGAGACATGTTAACAGTAAATGTACCTTTTGATCTAAACATCATACTGCTGTGCATAAAAGCCAACCTTCAAAGTGAGTTTGTCATTTCACAGCAGTATGATGTTTAGATCAAAAGGTACCTTTACTGTTAACATGACTCGATCTTTTCTCTTCTTTCCTCTAATCGGTTTGATCGAGTCATGTTAACAGTAAATGTACCTTTTGATCTAAACATCATACTGCTGTGCATAAAAGCCAACCTTCAAAGTGAGTTTGTCATTTCACATATTTACCAGTACAGTACTTAATGTGATAGAAATAGAATCGATCATTGCAATATGAGAAAGATCTGTTTAGTTCTTCCTTTAGCCATTTTGTTTTTATGATCAGTCTCAAAATATAACATGCACAACGAGGGATCAAGGGGAACCTACATGTCAAATTTGAGAAAGATCCCTCAAGTTATTCCTGAGAAATATTATAACAAACCTTCAATGTAAACAAGAGATCCCAGAGGGATCTTGGTGCCCACCTTCCCAGAGGGATCTTGGTGCCCACCTTTGTACCATCTTCATTAGTTCTTTGTCAGTTCAATCTTTTCTCTTCTTTCCTCTAATCAGTTTGATCGAGTCATGTTAACAGTAAATGTACCTTTTGATCTAAACTTAATACTGCTGTGTATGAAAGCCAACCTTCAAAGTGAGTTTGTCATTTCACATATTTACTAGTACAGTACTTAATGTGAAAGAAATAGAAAAGAAATAGAATCGATCATTGCAATATGAGAAAGATCTGTTTAGTTCTTCTTTTAATCCATTTTGTTTTATTAATCAGTCTCTCTAAAAATAATATGCACAACGAGGGATCAAGGGGAACCTACATATAAAATTTGAGAAAGATCCCTCCCATACTTCCCAAGAAATAGCGATAACAAACTTTCACTATCAAAATCCAGATGGCTGCCTGTCGGCCATGATGTTTATCCGAACAGTCTCTAAAATTGCCCTGCACAGCCAGGACCAAGGTGAACCTACATATAAAATTTAAGAAAGATCCCTCTAGCTTTTCCTGGGAAATAGGGGTAACAAACCTACACTATCAAAATTCAAGATGGCTGCCTGTCGGCCATGTTGTTTATCCGATCAGTCTCAAAAGTTGCCCTGCACAGAATATGACCAAGGGGAACCTACATATAAAATTTAAGAAAGATCCCTCAAGTATTTCCGAAGAAATAGTGATAACACACTTTCACTATTAAAATCCAAGATGGCTGCCTGTCGGCCATGTTGTTTTTCCGATCAGTCTCAAAAGTTGCCCTGCACAGCTAAGGACCAAGGGGAACCTACATATAAAATTTGAGAAAGATCCCTCTGGTACTTCTTGAGAAATACCGATAACAAGAATTGTTTAAGGACGGACAACGGACGGACGACGGACCACTGATGCAGCGTGATTTGAATAGCCAACCATCAGATGATGGTGGGCTAAAAATCGAAGATGGCTGTCGGTTGGCCATTTTGTTTATCTGATTAGTTTCAAAAGTAAACATGAACAATAAAGGATAGTGGGGAACCTGCATATAGAATTTGAGAAAGTCCCTCCAGTACTTCCTGGGAAATAGCACTAACAAATCTTCACTGTCAAAATCCAAGATGGTTGCCTGTACGTCTGCCATGTTGTTTTTCTGATCAGTCTCAAAAGTAAATATGCACAACTAAGGACCTAGGGAAACCTACATATAAGATTTGAGAAAGATATCTCTCCACTACTTATACTGATGAGAAACAGCGATAACAAACTTTCACTTTCAAAATCCAAGACGGCTGCCTATCTGCCATTTTGTTTATCCGATCAGTCTTAAAAGTTGCCCTGCACAATGAAAGACCAAGGGAAACCTACAAATAAAATTTCAGAAAGATCCCTCTGGTACTTCCTGAGAAATAGTGATAATCAACCTTTAATGTCACAATCCAAGATGGCTGCCTGTTGGCCATGTTAGTTATCCGATCAGTCTCAAAAGTTGCCCTGCAATAGCTAGGGACCAAGGGGAACCTACATATAAAATTTAAGAAAGATCCCTCTAGCACTTCTTGAGAAATAGCGATAACAAGAATTGTTTAAGCACGGACAATGGACGGCGGACGATGGACATGCAATGGACGGATGGACCACGGACGCAGGGTGATTTGAATAGCCCACCATCAGATGATAAAATAGATACCAGAAAAATAAACAATTTCTCTATATCAATCAAGACTACAAAGTATTATCTATCGTTGTAATTGGATACAGCTTATTTATTTAAATTTCTTTTGTATACCAAAGCATATGCCAAAGTAATTGAAGGCTCATAAGTTAAAAGAAAACACTGAAAAAGTTGGGACATTTGATATATTGCAGTTAAAAATATCTAAACTTATCATCTATATATAGAGGTTACACAACAAGTGGTTGTTGAATATTGTATTTATTTCACTCGAGTTAGTTAATTTTCAAAAGTTACAAAAGACACGAGCTTTAGCGAGTGTCTTTCTGTAACTTTTGAAAATTAACGAGAGCGAAATAAATACAAGGGGAACCTACATACTACCATATGTAAAAAGTCACTAATTAATATTCAAAAATGACTTCTTTTACAAACTTAATAATTGTCAAAATTAATGTTTCGGCAACAACTTCACGAAAAAAATATAATAGATGAACGACTTTAAGTATCGAGAGTAGCAGTATTGCATTAATTTATATAAATTAACCACGGACTATATGCGAGTAAGCATATCGTACGAAGTCTGCCTCCCGCCAAGTAATGAAGACGAACTTATCGCTGTCAATGTCCAAAACCATAGGCCTATGTTTCTTCGTGATGGTTCTATGGTTTAAGTTTATAGTGAAAGTTCAGCCATAGTCAGACCGTCCAAATAGCGATAACAGGACGTTGGGAGAACAAAATATTTTCCGACACTGTGACAGATCTTGTTTTGGTTTCACGACCTGGACACGCGACATTGTGAGGTCGAAACGATATTGAGCATCTGTAGCAATTTTGCCTGAAACTAGCGATCAAATTAATCTTTAAGTATCATCTTCTTTTAATATTGCCTTATTAACCCTCTTTTCCGCATAACTTTACAAAGTCACCAACATTTGACGGGTGTTGACAGCAGACAACGTAAACAAACAGCATGTGGCAAAAAGCGCGTGGAAAAAGTCGTCCCAGTCTCAACCAATCAAACTCTTGAAGGTCATATACCATGTGTGGTATATAACTCACATTTATCTAACAGTCTGCGTTTTTATACAATGATCTGAGAGTGGAATAACACAGCGTATTGTGGTAGAAACCACTTTATACCACCTACCGGAAGCATGATAATTTCATTAACATATGGGTTGTCAGTATAAGTATATTTAAGAAGAAGTTGAGAAAGACTTGAGAACAACTTAAGAATGGATTTTCCCATTTGGGAACATATTTTCTCAAAAAAGAATGTTTGCTCGCCCAAAGTGACATCCAAAGTGACATCCAGAATCAGAAATAGTTCCACACAAGTGTAAAAACCAATGACGATAACATTTATTTTGAAACATAATTTAAGGTTCATGGTTTAACTTTTCCTTCAAGCAAATCTTTACCCTATTTATATAAAAAAAATATGTTTGTATTTGTTTTATTTTTCAGACATTTTTTTTATACAATGCAAAGTACATTTGTAATAGCTGAGAATCTCACACACACTAATCTCGCTTCCACTTTCACACACAATTATCGATTGTCATTTTAATACATTTTTCCAATGTTTACATTTATATCGCATTTGTATAAGGAAAGCAGAAAAAGGAAAAATAGACAGAGGATGAAAAAAAGACAAGGACAAAACATAGAGAGAGAGAGAGAGAGAGAGATGTCAGGCAATCAGTAGTATATATCTATATATCTATATGTATGACTAGCATATGAAAACAGGAGGGAGTAAAGAGCATGTGTTGTCAGCTGGAAGTGTCAATATATGTATAGTAATAGCTAAACAGAATATTTTGATGTCTTTAGATAGGAAAAATGGATACAAAACAACTCATATACTAGTGTCCAATAATATTACATATTATAACTGTAAACAGTATTCTTAAAATAAAGTTCAGCAAATTGAAGATTCAGGAGATATTTATTAACTTTTGCCATTTTTTCCAATTATTTTTAAAAGTGTTATTATATTTGTCATCTTTACCTGTTGCAATGTATTTTTGTGTAATATAGTTGTCCTTGATTGCTTTTTTAAGACCATTTATAGATAAATTGGTTTGTAGGCATCTTGCTGAATAAATATATTGTTTCATAATCAAAATAATTGTACTGTCTATTGGTGTTCTTATTCCATCTTGATTATATAGTCCAAAGATAAAAGTCTCCTTATTGTAAGCAAAAGGGATCATTAAGGCATCTAATAAAAACTCAAAATTTTGTAACATAACCTGCACCTTATCACATTCCCATAGGGTATGTTCTATTGTTTCAATATCAGTTTTACATGAGTTACAATAAGGACTATCAGCTATTCCAGCCTTAAATAAGAATGAGTTTGTTGTCAAAATGTGTTGATTGATTCTGTATTGAAGCCACTGTAATTTTGAATTTTTGGTTATATGAAAAGGCATTTTATATATTTTTTTCCATGTTTCATTATCAAAATTAAAAACTTCATCCCATTTTTTTCTTCCAGTTGATATTGTATTATTTTTATTGAGTAAATAATAAAAATCTTGTGTCCCTTTTTTACTGCGGAAAAGTATTTCTAGATTAATTGGTATGAAAGGATAGATAGGACATGGTAAATCTTGTTTCTGTATATGTTTTCGAATAGCTGAAATAAGTCCTTGGTAATTAAGAAAGTTTGTATTTATACCAAAGAACTGTTGAAATTCCTGAAAAGAGTAAAACGAATTAGTGTCTTTATTGATTAAATCGCTAATAATAATAATTCCTTTATTGTACCAATCCCGATAAAAAATACTCTGATTATCTATTTTAATTACATTATTATACCATATTGGTGTTTTGGCCAATTTATCTGGAGATTGATATGAATAGTGTTTATTTGATAAGTTTATCCATGCTTCAAAAACATCTTTCCAAAATAAATTCTTACAGTTATTGTGACATATTGAAATGTACTCAGTTCCACAGTTAGCCAAAATATGATCATCAACAGAAGTTCTTAGAATAATTTGCCATTTACTTGGACTTGTATAGAGTCTCCTTAACCATGTTAACTTTAGAGATTCAATGAAAGACTTTACATGTAACATTTTTAGACCTCCGTCAATATATTTTTTAACAGTTATATCTCTTTTCACTTTATCTATTTTACTTTTCCATAAAAAACAGTACAGTTCTGTGTTTAACTTTTTCAGGAAATTCTCATCTGGGTTTGGTAAAGAGATAAAGAGATGATTAAACTGAGAAATTAATAGTGCCTTTATAATATGGATTCTACCTATTGGTGTCAAAATTCTTCTTTCCCAAGTTCTAATAAGGGCCTTTATCTTAACTAGTTTTTTATCATAATTCAGTTTAGGTATTCGGTGAAGGTCAACATGAAACTCAATGCCTAAAAGTATAAATTTTTGATTTCCCCACTGTATATTCAATTCAGGGTACACAACTTCATCACTATATTTTTTACTCCCAATCCAAATAGCCTGTGTTTTAGAAACATTTATTTTTAATCCAGATATTTTTGCAAAAGTTTTTAGTTCATCAATTGATTCTTTTAGTGATTTCTCTGTTCCATCTAAAATCAGTGAAGTGTCATCTGCATATTGAGACAGTAAAATAGGACTATTATCAATATCAATACCTTTTATATTTTTATTGTTCCTTATTCTAATGGCTAAGATTTCAGCACACATTATAAATATATATGGTGCGATGGGGTCCCCCTGCCTACAGCCTCTTTCAATTTCGAAAAATGGAGACAAATTTCCCCCTTGATTAATAGCTGAACTTTTTTTGTAGAATTTTGACCCACTTTTTTTTATATCTTCCCCAAAATTAAAATAATGATTGATAATTGACCCTGATTGAACCCAAAATTAATTGATTTGACTATTAAAGTACCTAGTTGTTTCCAAAAGCATTTAAAAAATTCTACTGTATACCCATCAGAGCCTGGGCTTTTATTTATTTTTCATAGTTTTTAAAGTATTTGAAGCTTCATTAAGAGTAATTATACCTTCTAGTTTGTTAGATTCTATATTACTTAATTTTGGAATATCAATATCTTTTAAAAAATCATCTACATGAACATCTTCTATATCATTATCAATTGTATACAATTTTTCATAAAAATTTCTTACCTCATCAAGAATTTCTACCTGCTTTGGTATTTTATCGCCATTGTCTTTCTCTATCATTGGTATTAACTTCGAGGTGTAATTTATTTAATTTATTTAATGTGGATAAAGTCAGTGTGATCATTGATAAATATCGAACTGGTTATTTACAATGAAAGGGATTGGCCACAAGTTCTTACAACTTACTATGACATCTCCTGATAAAATCTTTTCTTACCCATCTTCTATGCTTCCAATTTCCATTACCAGTTTCGATACCTGGCGTTTGGTCAATTCAGTTGCTGAATCCAGTTGGAATTTCATCAATGCCTACAAATTAACAATTTCTTAGCAATAACAAATGTACAAAACTGAATATTAAACTACATGTACAATTGTATGATTGCAGAATACACCAAAATTAGCGTGCACACACCGTCTGCATGCCATTTGCACAACTGTACAATTTAACAATCGTTCGGCACATTTTGATGAGTTTTACCTGGCCTGTCCCTGAAACAGAAAACTGATATGTGATACCTTAGTACCATAATGTAAACAGAACTGGACGTTAGGTATTTGTTAATTGCATTAGTTGCAATTTATAGCTTCCCCTTAACCTGAATTTTCACACCTTGACAGAAACATACTTAAAAATCAAGTTTATATCTTTAATCATGAAACTGTACATATTTTTGAGCTATTCCTCAATTTACACCAACCACTTTTGTTACTGAATTCATACCATATACATTTATTCAAAGATAAAAAATCATGTGTTTTTGTTTTGTTTTAAAAAATCTGAGCAAGTTAAGTCATCTTAATTCTTAATAATTCAGCAAAAGAGGAATATCAAAATAATGGTTTTAACCATTTTGAAATTTTTACAGACAAAGAGTAATACAGAACAGGTTTGAACTAAAGGGCCTGTCACACCTTGCCAATTTGAGTTGCAGAAGCTATGCCTGAGCACAAATTTGGCTATTTTCAGGGATCAGTACTAGTACGGCAGCACAACAGTACCACATCGCTAAGAACAGTAGTACATCGTCAGGATATTGGCAGGTGACGGTAGAAATTTTTGAACTTGATCACAAATTTCTGCCAATGTACTTACAAAAACATTTACAGAAGATTGGTATTACGTAGTACATCGGGTTTTACATCGGTAGGACAATGGTAGCACAATGGTATCGCAATGGGAACGCCGGTACTACATTGGTATTGCTACGGTCAATTTTGATTATTTCACAAGTACTTTATGCCGAATTAAGCTCTGCCAATTTTCTCGCCGTTGTTAATTTTTTGCTCCGGTTTAGTCCCGGCATTTCACAGTTCTACAGTATTTAAAAGAAAAACACAATAACACACGAATGTTTTGGTCTTGAAAGTAAACTTTAGACTGTTTTTAACCTATATGGTGATATAACTTGACCCTGTACTTCAAAGTTGACTGACCTTGACCATGTTTGATGGGTAACAACCTTGACACTGTTTTTTGTTGACTTTGGCCTTGTAAGATATAATGACTGACCTTAACTCTGTCCAGGAATAGTGCCCACAGGAAGTCGTCCCAGCTGGACAGTTTCCTGTTGAGGATACGTGAACACACACCCTGCCAGTCTGCCATACTGTGATCCTGGGACAATAGTTCCCACACTGCATCACGGATGTCAGCCAATCTCTTCACAGTATTTACAAAGCCTAAAAGCTTACCCACACCATGCTTCACATCCCGAATACATCTGAGGAAGAAAAGTCATCATAATATGGATCCGGAATGGATTCAATACATACAGGATTATAATCAGCAAACTGATAGCTTAATTGCTGTGCTAGTGTTGGCATAACCGAAACAGTAGTATTTGATGTAACAAATTTAATCACTTAATTTTAAGCAAAAAACACTGCAATGTTTAATGTAGTATATTGGATACAGGGACAGATATCACAAGCATGATGTAGACAGTTTAATGTAGTATATTGGTGTAGTATATTGATACAGTGACAGACATCACCAGTGGGGATGTAGACAGTTTAATGTAGTATATTGGTGTAGTATATTGGATACAGCGACAGACATCACCAGCGGGGATGGAGACAGTTTAATGAGTGACATCGATCACCAGCATGGATGTAGACAGTTTAATGGAGTATATTGGTGTAGTATATTGATACAGTGACAGACATCACCAGTGGGGAGGTAGACAGTTTAATGTAGTATATTGGTGTAGTATATCAGATACAGTGACATCGATCACCAGCATGGATGTAGACAGTTTAATGTAGTATATTGGTGTAGTATATCAGATACAGTGACAGACATCACCAGCGGGGATGGAGACAGTTTAATGTAGTATATTGGTGTAGTATATTGGATGCAGTGACAGACATCACTAGCGGGGATGGAGACAGTTTAATGTAGTATATTGGTGTAGTATATCAGATACAGTGACAGACATCACCAGCGGGGATGCAGACAGTTAAATGTAGTATATTGGTGTAGTATATTGGATACAGTGACAGACATCACTAGCGGGGATA